TGAACCGCAGTTAGCCACGTGGGAATCCAGTGCCTTAACCGCCACACCGCTTGCTAGTCTCAAGAGGGACCACATTTTATTTGACTTGGTAAATGCAATACCTAGTTAAATACCGGCTCAGCACACCCCGGATACTCAGTGTTTGGAATGAAGGCGTGACTGAGAGACTCATCTGCCCCTCTGCTGGGCGAAGCGACAGCACAGGCCTCCAGCTTCCCCATTCCCACCTCCGGTGTTGGGTCCACATGCTCCTGGTCTCCCAGGGAACACGAGAATTGTTCTACGCCACACAGTGCGTCCCGGCTGCACCAGGGCTCCAGCAGGGAGACGAGTGCTGTACCTCAGAGACCAAGGGGGTCTGGAGACACAAGTTCATCATGAGTCCCAGCAGGGTGTACATGACGTCTCTGGACAGGTCCATGTCCTCTTCACACCTGGCCTTGGGAGACAAGATGATCAGTGGCCTTTCCGCCTGGCAGGTTTCCATGGTCATCTGTTCCCTCTGACAGGGTCCCAGCATTATCCACCCCCGCCTGGTCAGTGCCAGGCCCTGAGTGGTGCTATGGGTCAGAGACCAGCTCCCTGGGCTCTGTTAGTCAGCAGCATTGGATGGGGCCTCTGGCACTTCCTCCATGCAACTCTGGCTCAGCCTGATCTCAGATTTAGACTGAAGAGTGTGCTGCAGGAGTGGGCAATCGAGCCAGCCCCACAGGAAACCCTGGAATCTCTCCAAGGTGGACGAGACTGGAGCTGGAGGCCTCTCTACAGTGAGCAGCCTGTACATTCACAGTTATGGAAGGGATAACCCCCTGGCTCCGGCACCTCAGAAGCACAATTTTGGAACAGTCAAGTAATTAAGAAGCCGACAGCCCCAAAGAAGAGAAAAGACCAACTCTGAATAATAGAGAAGCTAAATACCATGAGGCCCAGGCAGGCCTCCTCAAACTCTTCACAGGCTGCCATGTGCTTCCGAGCAGCGGGCTCCGCGCTGAGGTCTCCCATGATGGCAATACACTGGCAGAGAGCTGAGGGGCTGGTGACCTTGGGGTCTCTCTTCTGGAAGTGAACCAGGAGAAAGCGAGTTCTCAGACAGCAGGTGAGGAATCCTGCAATAATCTCTAGGAGTGTCCTCCACTCACCAGCCAGCCTGATGCACACAGACACCAGTGGGGTCACGATGGCAACAGGATGATGGCATGCCAGACCCCAAAGGGCTCATCCCAGCTTCTCTGCCGACCAGATTACAGGACCTGGGCAGGTCTTTCCCTTCTCAGCACCCAACACTCACAGCGGTGACATACTAGGGTGTGGTCATGCCCTTTAAGGACCCCTGAAATGTCTGTGGCTCACCAGGGCAGCATGCACTCCAAGGAGAACCTCTGTGTCCCCAGCCCCTTACTGTTCCCGGCTATGCTTGTCCCTGATGGCACTGATGCCCCTCCAAGGGAAGGACTGCATGCTGTACTGACGGCAGGACTTCATGTCAGCAGGGACGATGGAGACTCTCCTGCCTCTGCCTGAGACGCAGTCCACACCTGGCTCTTTCTCCCTGGGCCCAGCTCCATCTATCTGTCCCTCCCCCGGGCCCAGCTGTGGTTGTCTGCGGTTGTTTTGATAACTTTGAGTTGTATAAATTCCAGCTTGAGAGACAATGGGCGTTTGGAGGCACAAACTGTTTCAACAGCTCGGCTCATGCTCCCGAGAGCGTCTGTCAGGGGATGACCAGGAGGGTGTGCTCACCAGGACACCTGTGAGTGCGGGAAGGGCAGCTGGGAGGTTGGCCTGGAACCACGCTCGGAATCTGTTTAGAAAACATCAGCCGTGTTTATCTCTACACAAAACACTGCCTACACTGTAGCATAAATACGGTGTCTCGGGTAAGGAGGAAGGCGGTGACAAACTCTGGGCCCCTGGGATTTACAGGGTGCATGGACAATTCATTCTGAGCAAAAGAACAGAAAAAGGTCACTGGGTACGTAATGTGCTTTTAATTTTGCTAAGTCTGGAGAACTGCCCCGATGTTAAACAGCAGATCCGGTGGCGGCTCCGAGTCTCAGCGCTGGGTGGGGGCCTGCAGACGGGAGGCACAGTGCGAGCACGTCTCTGTCACAGCCATGAGCAGGCCCAGATTCACACACAGTGCGACCCGTGCTAGGGCAAGCATTCCACCCTCCCCGCCTGCTGGCCGGCCGGTCTGCAAGCACAAGCGGCTCACTCTCATTACACGACCATTTCTAAGGAAGATGTACAAGTGTGTGAGGAAATAAAACAAAAAAAAAGATGTGCTTTTAAAAATGCAAAACACATTGGAGCCAGCAGGTGGCATGGTAGTTAAGGAGCTAGATCCCCCCCCCCCCATGGTCACCTGCAGTTCAAATCCTGGACCTGGTGGCTTGAAACTCACTCCAGGCATGTGTGTGTGTGTGTGCCCAAAATCTTGAGAGCAGAACGGAGGAGAAGGGATTGCAGCATGGCCATTCCCCCGAAGGGTGATTTCTTGCTTTCTATCTGCCTATAGTGAGCACACATGCCCTAGAGCAAAAATCTCTCAAAAAAACAAAAACAACAAATGAAAAGAACACTGAGGTACACCGGGGAGGACCTTCAGTAAAACAAAGAGCCACAAACACAGAACACGGGGCTGAGGGAGGTACTGACTCATCACGTCACCAGCAGCGCGCAAGGAGCCGCGTTTGCTGTCACCCCGGTGGCTCGCTCGCGCCCGTTCGGTGAGCACAGATCTGCTGCGGACTCTGTATCAGGCACTGATGGAGGGAGCTTCCAGGGCACACAGCAGGCCTGCTCACTGTGCAGGGCACTGCTTTAGGTCTGTTGCTGCGCTAGGGCACCCTCCACCCCAGGGAGCAGGAGGGAGCGGCCGACTCTGCGCCCTGGAAGGCCCGGCCTCTCGACTCGCTGAGTCCTGATGCTCGGTCAGAGGCTCGGCTCGGCCTGTCTGGATTGTGCACCCTTTTGAAGATCAGACAGCTCAGCAAAGGTTACAGAAGACATGCCAGTTTAGTTTCCAGAAATAAAAGCAATTACCTTTCTTCCAGAGCCAGGCCTGTGAGCAGTCCCATGGCAGTGCTGGCCTTATCTGGGAAGTCGAGAAACGACACCAGGGCTTCTAGCAATCTGCAAAAACCATGACAACCTCAGAGAGGGCTCTCCTGTAACAGCAAGGCCCCAACAAGGTGACCACGCAGGGGGCTGGAGGAAGCTGGCCTCTGGTTGAAGGGAGCCAACGGGTGATCTCAGCAGACCCTCTAAGAACCCCAGCTCCCTGGCCACCCCAGAGACAGACACCGTCCCACTGGATGGCCTCATCACTTCACGTGGCTCCCCAGGGGGTTGAACGGTTTCAGGAAAATTTATCGATGACCGGCCACCAGCCTGGAAGGAGTCTCCGGTGCCTCTGCCATGTGACTCTGGCTCTAAGTTCATTAACTTAGATGACATCTAAGTGGCATGCTTGCTAATCTGCTGACGACTAACGTGGGAGGCCCCCCTAATAAGGTGGGTGATGGAATAAAAATTAATGAGGTTTTGACAGGCTGCTGAATATATCAGATGAAATTTAATAGGGTTACATTCAAAGTCCTCCACCTAGAGCTGAGAATTCTGTTTAAGTCACAGAACTGGAAGCCCTGGTTTATAACTGGTTTGTATAAAGAAGACTTGAGGGTGTTTAGCTGGTCACAAATACAGAATGCGCAAATAGTCTGGGGTAGCCGCCAAAAAAAGCTGATGCCATTTTACGTGGTCCTCACAGACTCACTGGCACCCAGGGAAGGAGGAGCCATGAGTTCACCCACAGATTCCTCCCAGGTGGCGACGGTGTTCAGTACCGGGCCCCGAGCTGCAGCGATGCACGTGTAAGCAAGTAAGGACGGTAAGCTGAGCGTGGTGACAGCGTGTCGGAAACAAGGAAGTGTCAGGAGGGCGGCAGGGTCTACTGTAGGGGGTGGGAGGGCGTAGAGACGAAGGTTTCAATAGCAGGGACATCTCCGCTGTCCCGAGTGTAGTGCTGGCTGCGTGCTCATTTAGTCACTTAGTCAAAGACACGAACGAGCACTATGTACTGAGCAAGGCAGTAGGTCCTGGCCCGCGAAGATGACCCAAGGCCAGGTTGTGGCTCCAGCATGCTTGCAGACCGTGGTGGGCACACGAGGACAGGGGCAGGGCGTGTCAGGCAGAGCTTGCAGCAGTCACGGCCTGAAGGCACCTCACAGGGCGTGGCTGGGGACCCACGCGGCTGCCGATGGTGCTGAGGGTCTGAGGGGAGGCCAGGGGCAGCCACAGAGAGCTGGACAGAGCCCAGGTCTTGGTGGCCTCCAGGACCTGCTGGTATGCCGTACTTCACTCTGAGGGCCTATGTTCTCTGAAGGGCAGTGGGTAGATGACTTGATTGGAGGTGGGGAGGCAGGGAGGCATGGCTTATGGAATTCTGGGCCCCTCTGTCTCTGAGTAGAGGAGGCTCCGGAGGCTGGACTGAACAAAGTCCCCACATGATTCCTAGACTGTTTCTCCGTAACTGACGAACTAGTCTTCCAGGCAACAGAGTCACTTCATTGTTTCAGGTAGGAAAATAACAGGACGGGTATGCATTTTAGAAAAATCCCTGATGGTATGGGGTGGGGGCTGGACTGAGGCAGGGGGCATGGAAGTGACCAGGAGACAAGTGTGACTGAGCTCAGGCCCTGAACCTTAACTGCAGGGAGACCTAGCTTACGAGTGGTCCATATAAAAACAATCCAAGGGCTTCGGGCAGAGCAAGCGGCACCCCAGAAGTGGAAGAAGCACTCACAAAGACCTCAAAGGAACCATTAGAGACAGCGGAGGAGAGTCGGAAGGTGTTGAATCCGGGAGACACCAAGGAGGAAGTACTGACATTCTACCTTACGGCTGCGGGATGATCACATTCGGGGTTCTGCTTAGGGATCTGGGTGGGTGGATGGCCTCTAAGAAGAGAGAAGATTCAGGCAGAGGGGGAAAGCACATTGGGATTTTCTGAATCTGATATGGACGAGCACCGAGATGGAGAAGTCCAGTAGCAGAAGGAAGTGTTCGTCTAGCACCCGAGAGACAGGAACTTAACCTCTCTTACCCTTATTTTTCATTAGAGATTCTTGCTATAGGGCATGTGTGCTCGCTCAAGAGGCAGAACTCGCCCTTAGGGGATGGCCATGCTTCAATCCCTTCTCTTCCCTTTTCCTCTTAGGATCTTGGGCATGCATGCAAAACATCTGGCATGAGTTTTAAGCTGCCGGGTCTAGGACTCAAACTGCGGTTGACTACATGGGAGTCCAGTGATGCAACCATTATGCCATCTGCTGGCCCCTAGACTCTTAATTATAGGAGTGGATGAGAAGAGGGCTAAGGGTAGGATCCTGGGGTCCCTGATTGGGAGACTGGCAGCATGGGGGCAGTTGCAGAGAAATCCGGGAAAGAAAAGCCAGAAGGCAGGAGGAGAGCCAGGAGGAATGACGTCCCAACAGCCGTGCTTGGGTTTCAATTGGGCCAAATGAGACAGGGCAGGCAAGTGAGGCCAAAGAGCCACTGGACTGGGCACCTGGGAGCAGGGGCACATCTGCGGTACTGGACCTAGTCAGCAGCTTGCTCGAGCAGGGTCTGGAAACCAAGTCACCCAAGAGGTGGCGGAGGCCATTGGGATGCTCGCGGAGGACAGGTGTCTTCCGATACCTAAAGCGCAGAATGTGGGGTGGGAGGTGTCTGTGCACCCTGCAGGCCTTCAACAGCCAGGTGTGGGGCGTGGGGCGTGGGGCATGAGGGGAGGGAGGAGGCAGATTGGCCCCGGGCTGGGATGGGACAGGTAGTTTGTGTTCAGTGTCAGGAGGGACTTTACATCAATTAGGACTGTCCCAGGAGGAATGGGCTGCCTGGGAGGCGAGGGACAGGCCCTTTCGCCAGGGGGAGAGACCCTCAGTCTTTGAGCTATTTTTGTGCCCATCACACATCACGTGGAGGCAACCTTCCCTGGACGGATCAGGCACAGGCTGTCTGGGACAGCGCAGAGGGCCTGTCTGCGAGGTGGGATAGGACTGGATTGCTTCTCCAAGCTTCGGCAGATCCCTAACTTCCTCAGGAGTGTGCTCCGGGGTTCCTGCCGTCAGAAACGATCTGTTTTATATTGACTTCTGATTCCTCCTTCAGCAGTTTAAACCTGCTTTTACTTTTCTTTTTGGTCTTGACAATGAGTGGTAATGACCCTAAATGTTACGGAAGATGAGATGACCGTGTAAGATCATCTTGGCTTTGGCCGTGGAGATCTAAGCAGCCAGGCGTCCTCTCCATGTGACAAAACGCACACCCTAGCTGCACTCAGTACATAGAGGCCCACGTGTCCTGTCCCACTTCCCCCCGTCTCTTCTTTTTGGGTGACAGATTTTTCCGCCATGCCGAAACGCGGCTAGCTGTCTCTGGGGGCAGACCGCAGGTCAGAAAATGGTCTTATGTAACTAATAAACTGTATAACCTGAACGGAGAAAATGATTATAAAAATATTAAAGAACATTGGGGCCAGCAGGTGGCGTGGTGGTTACAGTGCTAGATTCCCACACGGCTGGCTGAAGCTTGAGCTCAGACCCAATGGCTTGAAAATCACATAAAGCACATTTGCATGTGTGTCTAAAATCCCAAGAGGAGAACGGAGGAGGAGAGACTGTGGCAAGGCCATCCTCGGGGGTTGGGGGGTGAAGTCTCACTTCCCCTCTCTCTGCAGCAAGTGCACACACCCTACAGCAAAAACTTATAAAGCGCATTTGCATGTGTGTCTAAAATCCCAAGAGGAGAACGGAGGAGGAGAGACTGTGGCAAGGCCATCCTCGGGGGTTGGGGGGTGAAGTCTCACTTCCCCTCTCTCTGCAGCAAGTGCACACACCCTACAGCAAAAACTTAATAAATAAACAAACAAATAAATAAATAAATTAGAGTGTAGGCCACGTGCCAGGAAAGACACGAGTCCCCCGGTCAGAGGGCAGAGCTGTTTGCCGGCCGACAGGGACACTCCCCGCTCTTTTCCTCTGCCTGTCTCTGCTCCAGCAGCTGGGGCCGCTCCCCCGCCGGGATCGGCAGGTGCCCCAACCCTGTCCAGAGAGAAATAAGCAGTAGCTTTTCTTCATAAAAGAGGCAGATGGCCGGCGCTAACCTGTCTTGAAGAGGGCTGTGAGACTTGGAGTTGCAGCAAGTGGGACCGCACGGCCAGGAGGAAAAGAGGTCAAGAGAAGACAGAGACCCTGGCTTCCCCTTCTTTAAGATAGGGCACTACCAGCTGCCATCTTTAGCCTTCGCTATTATGATTTTTAATGTGAGACCAGTAAGCCAGGCCCTGTTTTGCTGAAGCTCCTTTCGATCAAGTGCACTGTTTAATGTAGCAGGAAACATTTTAACCCGCAGACGCAGCCCTCTCCTTAGTGTCATCCCAAGTGTGTGATTCGGAAGAGACGACGGGGCCCAGCAAGGCAAACGAGCTTCCTGTGCTTAAGTGGAAGACACGCGGAGGACCAGAGCTCAGGGCTGCTCGGGTCTGAAGACCCAGCGCCCCCACTACGTGCGGCTGGCCCAGGTTGGTTCTGTGGCACATGCCCTCCCTCCGCTTCCCAGACGGGGACAGCGCTTTGGGAGGAACGTGACACGTGTGGCTGTGAGCGAGGCGGCTGCTTCCCACGGCCTCGTCTCATTGCAGAGAATCTATTACAACTCCTTCCGACTTCACTGGAGACAGGCATTAACAAGGCCGGGGGCCTCGGGTAATAAGCCGCGGTTTCTCTGACTGCTAAAGAGAGGAGGCAGGGCGCACAGGTAATTGCCAACGCCACTCTCCGAGACACTGGACCAATTCAAATTGAAACGCGAGCAATTCAAAGATCGCTTGGGGGAAAACTGCTTATGATAACTACAGCTACATTTACTCACAGAGACAAACAGCAAATGAAGAACATGTGAGGGAGGCACTGAGGAGATGAATGAGAGTCATTTAGGGTGTGAAATGTGTTTTCGGAGGATTTCTCTCCACTGGCAGTCCATCTGCCTGTGTGGGCTGAGTGGCAGGCGGCTGCCAGGGCCTCTCCTGGGAGCCACCAGTGCTGTGACTGCGTGGAGCCAGGGACAGTCAGTGCTGAGCCTCAGTAGTCACTGGACCTGCTCACCATGTGGACAGGGGTGCAGGGGGGCTCGGCTGGGTCCAACAACCACCCGACAGGGCTGCACATCCAGCCCCATTTCTTTCTTTCTTTCTTTCTTTCTTTCTTTCTTTCTTTCTTTCTTTCTTTCTTTCTTTCTTTCTTTTTTCTTAGAGAGAGACTTTTGCTCTAGGGTGTGTGCACTCACCAGAGAGAGACAGAGAGACAGGAAATGAGAATTCTCCCCCAGGGGAGATGGCCACACCACAATTCCTTCTCCTGCATTCTCCTCTTGGGATCTTGGGCATGCTCGCACACACGCCTGGCATGAATCTCCAGGACTCGAACCACAGGGGACTACGTGGGGGGCTAGCAATGTAACCATTACGCCATCTGCTGGTTCCTCGAGCCCCATTTCCTACTGCGGGCAGAGAGCAGGAGCTGGGTGCCGAGGAGCAGCTACCTGGGAGACTGCGGGGTGACAGTCCCTCCGGGACGCATTGCGGTCTCCTCTGTCCCCTCTGCGAAATGAGCAATGACACCAACCTTGCCCATCTCCCAGGGCAAGAGGAGATAAAACAGGCTAATAGTAAAAAAATAAATAAAAAAGGGGAGGCTGACTTGTGCTTTAGATGGTGTGAAGTGTACCCAAAGCAGCCCTCCGCAACGCCACTGTGCTTCCACCGGGCTGCTCTACATGAAGTGGCGGCCGCGCTGCTTTCTGATCTAACACCGGCACTGTCTACACTCGAACGCATAATCTGAAGAAAAACTAAAAGGTTAATAAAATTAAAATACGCGAACTTATAAACAATAAAATAAATAAGCAAAATAATCGGCTTAAAAATAAACTGAAAAGCGCTGGGCAGAACGAATGGCTTTCTGTAATTTTTAGAGTATCTGTTTAGTAGACAGACTCGTTCTACCCCACAGCCTTCAGCTTCAGAAGGATTTTAGAGGTTGTACTTAGCTGAACTCTACCTTCTTTCAGAAAGAGGTTAAGAGCACACAAAATAAGACAGCGTGGTCTCAGGCAGGAGTGAGAGAAGGAGAGGAACCGGGTAGAGGCAGGACTGAGGCGAACGGGGCCGAAGCCGTGACCTAGGTCGAAGTGGGGTCCCAGATCTCGCTCTGATAGTGCTCACCGTATGGTGAGATGGACACAAGCCGGTTGCCCAGAAGTGACACTGTCCATGGTGCTAAGTTCAGGGACGGGCCTGCCCTGGAGGTCCTCAGGCCTAACGTCCTTGCCAAAGGCCCCTTCTGCTATCGTTCCCTTACAACGTAGGGTGGCAGCTTCCGCCACAGAGAAGCGAGGGCCAGGTGAGGGTCTGAGGGGCTGCGAGGAAGACCCCGCCAGCAGGGCCTCACCGGGTCAGGTCGAGGTGGCTGAAGATCAGGCTCCGCCCGTTCTCAGTCTGGGTGAGCTGCAGGAGCAGGGCCAGGCTCTGCTGCCGGACGGCCGGGACCTCGGAGGCCAGGAGGGAGGGCAGCAGCCTGCCCCTGTCAGGGTCCATCACAAGCAGACGCTGGTTTTCCTCTGCAAAACAGAGAGGTGGCCTGCCCTGCATGCTAGCAATGACAATTGTTCTGTCTCCAGTCATCCTGACGGCAATTCCAACTTTTCTACACTCGATCGAGGGGCAGGATACTGAAGTCTAAGAGCACGGAGCTTGGGGCCAGACTGCTGGGTCTGCATGGCCAGGCAAGCCAGTGAGCCAGGCCATTAACTCCCGGGCCGAGCAGCTTCCTGGCAGCAGGAGGACGAGAACACTGACCTATCTGAGTCGTCGTGGGAATTCAATGAGTTAATCCACGATCGTGCAGACGGGCTGGCGTTCATAGATTACCTACACCACATGACTGGCAGAAGGTACTGCGATGAGTGAGATCTGGAAACGGAGCAAAGGCGAGGGGACTGGCCCAGTCGTGGAGTACCTCAGACCACCACTCTTCACGTGGTGGCAGAGCAACCACTGCGTTCTCGCGAGGAAAGCCGAATACTGCCATGAAGGTAATAAAGCATGCCCGCCTTCCTGGACCAACAGCCATTTCCAGGGTGGTGGCGCCGGTTTACCTCCCTGTCACCTGCTTCATTTTCTTTTCCTTTCTTTCTTTCTTTCTTTTTTTTTTTGGAGAGGTTTTTGCTATAAGGCGTGTGTGCTCGCCAGACAGACAGAGAGAGACAGAGAGACAGAAAGCAAGAAATCACCCCCCAGGGGGGATGGCCACACTGCAATCCCTTCTCCTCCATTCTCCTCTCGGGATCTTGGGCACGCACGCACACGCACCCGGCGTGAGTTTAAGCCACTGGGTCCGGGACTTGAACTGCAGTCGACTAGGTGGGAGTCCAGCGACATAGCCATCATGCTAACTGCTGGCCCCACTTGCTTCATTTTCTGAGTAGCCACGTGGATCTGTCTGGGAGCAGACGAGGACGGGGAGCTGGAGCACGAAGCTCACCCACACCTCAGTGCAGGGCACCCCAGACCTCAGAGGGCGAGGACCGACTGCATGAGCCTCTGGACCCTGGGCTCGCTCCCCTGCTGCGCTGACGGCCCTTCCACACAGCACCCAGCGGTCAAGGAGTCACTCCCGTGCTCTCCCAGCCGAGGAGAGCCGGGGATGGGAGAGCAGGTGGAGAGGAGCCCACATTCCAAGCCGTGCCTTTCACGACATTACCTCCCGGCCCTACCGTTCACCGAGGTCACGCGGTCCTCGCGCATTAGGGTCCTACTGGCCTTGCAATAAGAAGGAGTTGCGCTGGTTTTGGTTTATATATATTTTTTCTTACACTGCAAATGCAGCTTATTCTAAATAACTCAAACGTAGATGTAGTATAAAGTTGAAAATGAAAGTTCCCTTCTCTTGTGCCCCCTCCAGGCAAGCCCATTCTCCAAAGAAGTTATTATTCACCCCTCAGAGGGGTGACAATGTTACAACAACGATATCAGACACCCTGCCCTGTAGCCGGCTCCTCTCCCCGACTCGACAATGTATCACTGACACATTTTCATGCCCTTACCTTGAGCATTCCCTGGCCCTTTTCTAAAAAGTGCTTCGCGTGTGCTGAGCTGGGTGTGCTGAGATTTCGTTGATCTGGGTTACGGCACCTACATCAGGGACCGTGTCCCACATGATTTTCCCAAAGTTAAAAAAAATGTAGCTTTGAGGCTCACAGAAACCAAAGTAAAAGGGTCAGATTCTCACTGCCCTGTCCTTGGTGACACGCCTTCAGCATCGCCGAGTTCCGCCTTCCTCGGTCCTTAGAGAAGGTCTGCAGAAACCCTGCCGAGCTGCTGTGGGGTCACTTGCGAGGAGCAAGGCTCCATGGCCGTGATCTGGCACCACTCCTTCAGGAAACAGGCTCCCTGCGGGGCTAGTTTTCCAGGGCTTACGTTCTGGACTCCTCCACTCTATGGAACTAAGGAAAAGACTGCCCCACCTCAGACCCAGCCATGGATCGCTCCCAGGCTGTGCTCCCAAGCTCTATCCCTGACCCCCCACGGCAGCCCTGTGGGAAGGCCCGGCTGTCACCGTCCCGGTTTCAGTGTTTTGTGCCCAACGTCAAACTTTGCCTTTGAAACATGCTTGTTAAAAATGAGAGAAATGCTTAAAATTTTAATTTACATTGTAGTGATTAAGAAAGATGGCAGTTGGCCAGCAGGTGGCATAAGGCTATGTCATTGGACTCCCATGTAGTCGACAGCGGTTCAAGTCCCAGACCCAGTGGCTTAAACTCACACTGGGTGCATGTGCATGTGTGTCCAGGATCCCAAGAGAATGGAGGAGAAGGGATTGCGGCATGGCCATCCCTTCTGGGGGGTGATTTCTCGCTTTCTGTCTCTCTGTCTCTCTTCCTGGTGAGCGCATGTGCCCTATAGCAAAAACCTCTCAAAAAAAAATTAAAAAAAAAAGAAAGATGGTACAAAAGCATAATGAACTCCAGAAGATGCGAATACAAAACAAAAATGTAAGGTGAGCTCAAAACTACAGCAGACCGCTCTGCCTGTCACTGTCTCAATATTAACATTGGTAGGCATCTGGGGACACTGGCAGGGACCACGGCAGAGCTCAGTGCTGACATGAGTGCTGTGGTCAGAAAAAAAAAAAAATAGATTTTTTTTTAAAGAGGTTTTTGCTATAGGGCGCGGGCGCCCAGCCATGGATCGCTCCCAGGCTGTGCTCCCAAGCTCTATCCCTGACCCCCCACGGCAGCCCTGTGGGAAGGCCCGGCTGTCACCGTCCCGGTTTCAGTGTTTTGTGCCCAACGTCAAACTTTGCCTTTGAAACATGCTTGTTAAAAATGAGAGAAATGCTTAAAATTTTAATTTACATTGTAGTGATTAAGAAAGATGGCAGTTGGCCAGCAGGTGGCATAAGGCTATGTCATTGGACTCCCATGTAGTCGACAGCGGTTCAAGTCCCAGACCCAGTGGCTTAAACTCACACTGGGTGCATGTGCATGTGTGTCCAGGATCCCAAGAGAATGGAGGAGAAGGGATTGCGGCATGGCCATCCCTTCTGGGGGGTGATTTCTCGCTTTCTGTCTCTCTGTCTCTCTTCCTGGTGAGCGCATGTGCCCTATAGCAAAAACCTCTCAAAAAAAAATTAAAAAAAAAAGAAAGATGGTACAAAAGCATAATGAACTCCAGAAGATGCGAATACAAAACAAAAATGTAAGGTGAGCTCAAAACTACAGCAGACCGCTCTGCCTGTCACTGTCTCAATATTAACATTGGTAGGCATCTGGGGACACTGGCAGGGACCACGGCAGAGCTCAGTGCTGACATGAGTGCTGTGGTCAGAAAAAAAAAAAAATAGATTTTTTTTTAAAGAGGTTTTTGCTATAGGGCGCGTGCGCTCACCAGACAGACAGAAAGAGACATAGAGACAGAAAGCGAGAAATCACCCCCCAGAGGGGATGGTCACGCCGCAATCCCTTCTCCATTCTCCTCTCGGGATCTTGGGCACGCACGCACACGCGCCCGGCGTGAGTTTTAAGCCACAGGGTCCGGGACGAGAACCGCGGTCGACTATGTAGGAGTCCAGTGACATAGCCATTACGCTAACTGCTGGTTCCCAAGAATAGTGTTTTTAAGCAGACAGAAAGGAAAACCTGCTCTCCCCCTCACCAGCACCTGAGCAGAAGTCACAAGTCTGAAAGGACAGGAGGGGACACAGAGGAGACCACCTGTCATGCTGGCAGTGGCCTCACCCACTGTCCCTCAGTGTTCCCAGGCTGGTGAGGAAAGCGGTGCCAGGAAGCTGGCTGGGGACCAAGGCGCAACCCAGACCTGGCTCTAGGTCACATGCTTTCTCAGAGAGGAAGGCATGGGGTGGTCGAGACGCCGGCTCTCCGGGGCTCTCCGCGAGCAATCATGCCCTCCAGTGCACTTCCACAGTAGTGGCGCATTAGCGGTGATTAAGGGTGATTATTTAGGCTTACCGTTGTCCCTGCACACTGCCTGCCAGAGCTTGAGAACGGACACGCAAACCGTCTCTTCAACCGCATCTGTCCCTGCTGTGGAAAAGCACCTAGAAGAGACAAGGCAGTAACAGATCTAGGAATCCATCTCAATGTCCTTTTCATTTAGTTCTATTTCACCTCCAGACTCACCACCAGCCAGTGTTAGAAAGTAATTTTATAATCTGTAAATTTTATAGAGCCCCAGGTCACCAGGATGAATAGACTGCCAACCCCCGGACTGAGTTTCGCAGGTCTAGGACGGAGGCTGGGCAGTCCGGGCTGTACAGAAGGTGGGCTGTGAGCCAGGGCCATGGGAGACAGCTGCACTGGGACCAGTGAACTGTAGCTGGGCGCATGGCCACATGTGGGGGACGCCAACCACACCAGAGTCCTCAGCCTCAGGCGTCACATCTGAACAAATGGAGTTGAGCAACTGCCTGCCACCCCGTGGACCTTCCTTCACAGGAAATCCTAGATGGGATCAGCCAGAAGCCAATCTCACTTCCTAATAAGATTGGCAAACTCCAAGGAGGAGGAAAAAAGTAGCCATCTTGCATAAACTGGTGGGAAACCACCAAGAACGGCTATTTCTCTGACTCGGAAGCGTTTGGAGGTACGGAGAAGTCCTCCTGTGGCTTTCTCCTAATTGGTACCTGTGCATGTCACTCACATGACCTGAGGTCACAGCACAAGGGGGTTCCTGGGGTACTTGTGCTCCTGGAGGGGCGGCCATTACTGACTGAAGGATGGAGACACACGGTCACATCGCTGCCTATGGGGTGAGCATATGATTTCACAAGAAGTGGTGTTCTTCCTTACTATGATTCTGTAACAGCAAAAACTAAATCGTTTCTTTAACCCTGTTTTTTTGCTTCACTTTATTCCTCTTTCCTATACTTTAAGGGTTAACTGGTGGCTGTAGCTTTTGTAACCAATGTAATTTGTAACTATTGTAACAAATAAGGTCATAAATGAGCCTGTTTGCTTAGAAGAGGAAACTTAAGTTACTTGTTATAGACAATGATCACAAAAATTGCAACCTGGCAGGGGTTCCCGCTGTGAGTCTTCAGAGAGGGGAATGTTTACTCAAGGACACAATGTAACAGGTTAAATGGGAAAGGCTATAATAATGTTACAGTTTGCACAGTAGTTACTCAGGTGTTTAGAGTGTCTTATTAAGCAGTATAACTCTAAAAATATGCTGTAGCTTCCCTTAACCTATTAGGTTTTTGTTTTCCTATGCAAAAGTACATCATGACTTTCCCAACAACCAAATGTCAATGTATGTCACACGTCTGAGTCAACAGACTTAATGTCACCATAAGAACAGAGAGTCACAAACGTCCTGTGAAAGGAAAGGGTGCACAGAACAATTCTGGAAAACTCATGAGGGTAAGAATAGCACCAAACTGGCTAAATGTACACTACAGATAACAATGTGTAAGCAAGAAATGTAACAGTTATGACGTGCTGGAGATTTCTGTTCCAGGAGCTGGTTGTGGGCTTGTCAGTTCTGGGCCGCAGCTGCTCCTGTGTCCAACACAGCTAAGTCACCTCCCCTGCCTCTGCCTCGCCTCTCAGATATTCACAGCAACGGCTGCCGGATTTTAGGCAGCCACAATTCGGGGCCGTCTTACTAACATCCCTACCTTCTTATGACCTTGTTGTCGCTGATGATACTGAATCCATTGTGGGTTCTGAACAAAGTTCGTTCTGCGCCTGGAACAAGGTCACAGACAGCCATGTGAGACTCCGGAACTGTCTCCCCCGGCTGCGGCGCAGACATCGATAACGTGAGATCTGGTACGGAATGCTGAGGCCAAGGTCCGAGTTTGGCAGGAACAGATATCTACGCATCGTGAAAGATGCAGCTGTCGCCAGCTCACAGTACCTCAGCCAGAGGGACTGCTCAGGATGGGGAGCAGAGCAAAACTCATCATTTCACCATCTTTAGAGCAACTCCCGGAGCTGCATCTCCTCCGGGAAGCCCCCATATACCTGCCTGCTCTTAGATACTCGTTTCAAAGCTGTGTCTGGGCTCCAGAAAGGAAGCCGGAATCTCCGAGAAACTGCCGAAAGGTGTCTCTGAGCACCCCCATTGTGTACTATGGGGAGTCAGAGGCTCCATCTACTTCTGCCGGGGCAGCAGAAACTACGGAAGCCCTGGTCTCCATGTTTATGAGAACTGCTGAAGGAGACAGCATGGCTCTCGTCAGAAAGAGGAGGCTGAGCTTTGCTCTGAAACCACTTCCCATCCTGAGTAGCCCTTAAGAGTTACTGGGGGGAAGCTCACGGTTTAGCCTAAAGTTCTGTCTTCCACTCCCCTGCAGCGGGGTAGGGTGTGCAGGGCGTGTGGGGTGCATGTGGAGCACGTGTGGGGGATGTGCTGGACGCGTGTAGGGGCTGAGGGCGTGTACATGCTTACCGGTGTAACGTGTGTGAGTGTGCTGCGTGTGTGATCTAAGTGTGTATGAAGGTGGCGCCACGTGTGTGTGGTGGACATAGTGTAAGACTACATGGAGAGCGTGCATGCGTGTGTTGTGTGTATGCTGAGTGTGTGCATGCTCTGGCGAGGACAGAGCAGAGGTGGGGCTATATTATTGTGCACTTTAGAGAAGCTCTTCCATCAGTATTTGTGGGCAGACAGGAGGGATTCTTTGCCTCCTAAAAGCAGCCTCTAAACCCTGTCCCTTCACACTGACAGTTTTCAGGAGCTCACACAAAACGCTGGCTTACAGTCTTGCATCATTTCAGTAAGGATCTCGATTCCGCCGGCGTAGAACAAGGGGATCTGGTTAGGCTTGGAAAGGGTCTCCAGGAGATTCTTGGTTGTCACGGCCGTGTTCTTTCCTGAATCTAGCAGCGCCCGGGCTTCCTTCTCTTGAAGGTCTGCCCTCTCCCGAAGATCTACTTGATTCAGGTATTCTTGCAAAATAAATAAATAAATACAGGGAACCCACAGTTAGCGTAATGGCTATGTCGCTGGACTCCCACGTAGTCGACCGCGGTTCGTGTCCTGGACCTGGTGGCTTAAAACTCACGCTGGGTGTGTGTGCGTGCGTGCCCAAGATCCCAAGAGGAGAATGGAGGAGAAGGGATTGCAGCGTGGCCATCCCCTGTGGGGGGTGATTTCTCGCTTTCTGTCTCTATGTCTCTGTCTGGTGAGCGCACGCGCCCTATAGCAAAAATCTCTCCAAAAAAAAATACATACATGCATACATATATACATACACACAAACAAACAAAGCAAACTGTAGTAATCAACAATCTCATGCAAAAACTTTTTTGCTTTGTTTTTATTTTTGAGGGCAAGAGTTGGAGAATCAGAAAGCAGTAAGAGAGTTGACAGCCTTCTTCAGCAAGGACAATGCTAGGAGGAGTGTGCAGTCCGTACTCGAAGTCTTAAACTACCCTGGAGTCCAGGGCAGTAGGAGGTTTGCAGAAGACGGTGTAGAAGAGGAGGACAGAAGGGAGAGGACCGAGCAGCCCTGTTGACACAGAGTGCTGGACTGTGCAGGAAAGGCCAGGCCAAGGGCAGGGGAGGTGTGGGCGTTGCTTGAAGACAGGAGCAGAGAGAAATGAAGTGTAAACAGAGGCTATCAGCAGGA